CTGAATGACAAACATCTGGATAAAAGTAAAAACGAAGCATTTTCCACGTAAAAGGCCTCATGTAGCCGTATAAATTCATGAAAATTGATTTTCATGTGTTTGAACTTAGAACCCAAGGCCTAGACGTGGCCAGAAAGCAAGAGAGATTGTCACAGACTAGCAAGAGCTCCGAAAACGTTCATAAAAAGTGATCATGCTCTCAACTTTAAGGCAATACACGATTCACATACCATTTATCTCTCGGATAATCCTAATCTAGATTTTAGTAAAAAAACCGCGTAGTTCGTCGGAAAGCCTGTTTCGGCGAATCCATTCATTTAAGTTGGCAGTCACGGTTATATATAATTTTTTTCTATGGGTGTGTACATAAGGTTTGTGGGATAAGAATAAAAACTGGTAAGCGTTATTGTTTACGTCAACAAAGTGTTTCAAGAAGTACGCGATGGATGATCACAATGTAACTAGGAGGTTTGAAGACTGGTGAGAAGGTAAAAGTGATAATCTGTCATCGCCTAAAAAAGGTGGGTTAGTGTATTATATTTGCATAATAGGACGAATAACTTCATGGGTGACTTGTGATCATAATAGATCATAATAGTGAAGGAAAATGTGGAATTATGTACGAGTTCCAAAGAAATGCCGGAGTTTTAAGGAATTAAAAACCAAGCACACTGAAATCAAGCTAGTAAAAATCAACGTGATCGGTACCGTGACAGTAGAAGTGGTCGAGTGATTTATTTTGTCTGCATAACCTTGATTTTTCCAACGGAACAGCCAAGGCGTCAGAAGTACAAAGAGGATGAAAATGTAAAGCCTTCGGCAGGTTATTATTCATTTTGTGGATCACTTTGAAAGAGGCGTTTGTTCAGGCGGCGAACGTAGTAAATGTCACCATCAAGATTATTTATGAATGAATCACAGAAACAGAGGAAAACTAAATTGAGAAATGGAAAGATCGGTATAATCTTGACAGTAACGGAGACGATACTTACAGAATATATCTAAAACAATGGTGCATCTGTTTATGAAATTGTTCGTGTTATGAGCCAGAATTTTGATCCCCTCCCCACCTCACCTTCGAAATTTCGGCTCATGATGTTATTGGGCATTAATAAAATTGAGTTTTAGTTTATTTGGACATTTCATCGTCAGGTTGTTGGGGCAGGGATGTAAGGCTCACTGGATCGCATTTTAGCGGGTATTATCATGGCCAGTCTAGGGAACGAAAATTTTAGGGACACATTCAGAAAACTGCAATGCACGTAACTTCAGACATTCTGATAAGACATCGATTGTAGGTGATGATTTTTTGCTTTCGTCATTATAAGACACCCATGACGCCTACAAAGTGTTGATCCCATCTTGTATTTCGGAGTTGATGGAGAATTCATATATCTGGATGTCGCTATGAGGCCTAAGACGAATGGTATGTTGAAAAACGTATCCATCTTTAAGATATTTTGTATGGAATTTCTGGAATTTCCTTAGCAGTTTTGGTTGGCTGATTCGTGATTTTAATTTTGCCCAGTGTGGGCAATTTCCCGTGATGTCTAATGTATTGCCGGCCTGAAATATGCATCGTCTCTGCTGAATTTTGGTACACGTTTCTTAACATATTAGCAGGATTTTAATGTGCACGTCACAGTACATTTTAACTCTTATGAATCACATATAATTCCATAAAGTTGTTACAAAGAAGATTATGAGAAGGGATTTATTTATTGTATTTTTGGTGGTTGGCTTAAAAGCAAAGACACTATTCTAGCAGTGACATGCTGTTGAGAATATTGCGAGGCATTAAAGTGATGAGCACTTAGAAGTGACCTAAGACTGCTTATATGTGTTGAAATCAGTGGGTTGGGAAGAAGACCATAGTGGATATAATAAAAGATGTCGCGAACATTAAGAGTAATCATACGAACTTGTGTACTAACTTTTGTGATACTATTAGCTGTTCTGATCAGAAACTATTAATAGTGCTATCGAGAATTATTGCAGTTGTCAGAATATAACTATTTAGAACTCACAGAACTAGTTAGGTACTTTGTGACCAACCTAACTTCATTGAAGCTGATGGTAAAAGACAGGATGGAAAGTCGTAAATTTGTTGCTCGAATAACAACAAACCAATATGGCAAAGTTCATCATACGGCGGTTCTGTCATAAGAACCACAGTTGGTCTAATATATATATGTACATATATACCCTGAAAACTGTTTGGGAAAAACGTCAGCGTAATATACGCCGACACTTCTCATCGTACTGCTCTGTTCTTCCTACATTCTTTAAATGTCCACTTACACTGATAACACCATTAGTAGTAAGGGAGAACCGTAAATTGAGGAGAGTGGACTAGGGACAAATTGTGACAAACAAAAAGTCAGAGATATTTAACAAAACCCATTTGACCCTCGCTGTCAACCAGAGAGATCATGTTCTTGTGTATTTTCTTGTCCCTCTGAGTCGTTTCATAATTCATAGCAGGCGACCAAACCTAGAATCCACGTTTAGCAATTAGCTTCTGGGTCTGCTGCTTATGGTTATAGATTTTTCACAGTTCATTTGTCCTCCTAACCACTGATCTACCATTATGAATCGCTATGTGGTCGTTGAAAACACGTCTGTCGGCCCTTGTGAGGTATCTCTCGACCACGCAATCAGCATTTTATCTTAAATGTTCGGCGAGTGATTAGCTCAGTTTAATATTAGACATTGTTTTCAGTTACCTGAATCATCCTGCTATTATCGTATGGCATATTGTCAAGTCGAATCAGGAATTCGGAAGGCTCATGTCTTATGAAAAGATACCGGATATAATCTAGATGTGTTATCATCAGTCGTGGTTTAAAGAAATCTGAAGATATTGATATTTCAAACAGAATTTTAACATGAAAATAACTATGACTGAGAATGACTCTGCGGCAATAGCATGATTCTGCCATGATAAACTACATGTCATACCTGTCTGAGCAGATACGCTATGAAAAAATTTCAGACCATAGCTAATCATGCAGAATTTCATTTCCGTAAGCCTACTTCAAATTGTCGGTGGTGGAATTTAGTGAAGTTATGTCGATTAAGTGGTGTCATTGTTTTCAGCATTAATTGCTTTTAGCTCAGCCAAATAAACTCCTGTGAAGAGCAGAAGCGACTCTTGAAGGCGGAAGTTGCCTTTTAGAATACAGAAAATTTTCAATAGGTTTGAAGACAAAGGTGTTAGCAGGAGAAAGTCAGTAAGTACTGAAAAGGTACCTATTCTCCATCAAGTGGATACAGCATCCCCAAAAGCTTTAATTCCGCACAGCTATTGTGTTACCTTAAGGCGCTCCAGGACATATACAACTGAGCAGACAAATAAGGATGCATCCAATGGTGTCCTAAAGCAGGCAGGAATCACTAGCTATCATGTTAACTTTAGTGACCAATAGCTCCATAATGCGTTATCTATTTAACGATCATGGTTCAGGCTTGCTTGGATATTCCTAATGTCTCATCAAACTGCGTATTTCCTAGTGTTTCGTCCACCGTCTACGCATCTATAAAGTGTCGTTTTCTCCCATTGTTATCCAAAAAGGATTTGGTTGTCGCAGTCTCACTGAAAACCATTTGTCTGTGAAACCAAATGTCAAAATAGGTCTTCGTCCGAAACGTCCCGGTTATATGACCTATATTTGTCACGTCTACACATCTTGTTGGTGCGGAACAGGTGATTCAGAATGAACCCAATGTAGAAGATCACTCTGTTCATCTACAGTGCCTTCTAATTCACCTTGTATAGGTGAGATGTCAGTGGCGCGACGGCAGAATGCTCGCCAACCACGCTTGCGGTTCGACCCCCGGGCGATGCACTACTTTACCTAGCTAAGCCGGTGATAAGGCTGTTAAGGAGGGAAGACTGGCCATGAGGCTAGCAATCCCATCCCGTAAAAATGAACATCACTGCTGCAGAAACTTCGGATCTCTGGCCTGAAGCCCCATGTTCTACTCGGAACATTAAGGGATAAAATAGTATTAATAATAAAGGTGAGGTTACATACTCACCAGAATCGGAAAAGCAAGACAGGCTTTCATTAATCTCAAGTCTGTGTGGAGGTTAACAGCATTCAGTATGAAAATGAAAATAAGATCCGGATTTCCAACTCCAATGTGAATTCAGTGCTACTCACTATACGGACCAGAGACTTGGCCAGCGCGTCATAAACAGCATCTCAAACAAACTACAGACCTTCATCAACAGCTGTCTTCGCTCAATATCACTCAAGATCGGATGGAGAGAAAAGATCAGCAACAGGGTGGAATCTCTGGAAACGAACCAACCAGGAACCGGTTGTGCAACAAATAGGCAGGAAGAAATGGAGATGGATTGGCTGGCCATACTTTGAGGAAACCATCAAGTGACATCACTAGACAAGCCATTGGTTGGGTGGAAACCGAAAGGGAAGCACGGAATTGGCCGTCAGTGCAAGGGTGACTTGGAGGAGGTCATGTGAGGAGAAGATGAAAGCATGTGGGCAGACCTGGAGCGGAGTGAAAAAGTTGGCAGAAAACAGAAGGCAATGGAGATGTTTGGCTGAAGCCCTATGTTCCTCTAGGAATTTAAGGATATAATAATACATACATACATACATACTCACTCGTGTTAGAATGCACTGTTGTTGAGACGTAGTCAACCACCTCTTTGAAAACTTCCATTTCCTTCCTCCGAAGTAAAAGCAGTAAGATTAGATGCTTTATTTGTAAACAAATATTTTTGGTACGAGGGAAGTCATTGCCTCATGTTTCCTTGTTCATTTTCAGGTTTGAGATTGATAAGTAATAACCGGAAAGTTATTTTTATCAAAATATGACTTAGATGAAGCCCAAAATGACCGGACGATATTTCTAGGCTTTTAAAGAAGCAATAGAAATGTCCATATTCTCTTCTTGAAATACCTAGAGAGTTTGTTTTAACCAAGTGCGTTAGCTTACCAACGTTTACCCAACAATTTAACTTCAGCTAAATGATTGACGAAGAATTTAGGACTATTTTGTCACATATTAGACCCTTGTGTGCCGACACAAAGGATGAAAAAGGTATAAAAATTCGATTGGTTAACTACGTTCCAGACAAGTCAAGCATTAGCTGTTTGATTAAAGAAATATCGGATTTAAAACGCAACGATTTTGAAAAGTATGTTCACAGTACAACAGCTTAACTCTCATAGACTTCAAAGGAATGAGCTTGCTAAGTCATTACTTTATAAACTTAGATCAAGTCAAAATACGCGAGAAATAGATGGAATGCAGAAGTTGCAATTAAATAATGACCTTATTAATGTAAGTAAAAACATAACTGCCTAACTTAGTAAACCTTAAAACAGAGTAAATAATATCGCAACGAAATAATGCTTCAACTCCCTAACGTGGAGTTTTCATGTGAGAACCCAATAAGCGACCGGCTCGAACTAACTGTCATGGTTGACAAGTAGCTAACTCACAAAGCGGAAACATCCAAAGCTTTACCAAACTTCTAGGAACACTGATTTCGGTCATACTGAAAGGTGGTAAAAATCTTTTTGAAAACCTTTCCATTCACCTCTCATCTGTCTTGAGTATCTCGTGCTGCAAACTATTGCATATATGATTGTGAATATCAACTATCGATCTCTAAATTTTGCCAAAATTTCCGAAATTTTTATGATTTCTCGATGTTTCTCGCAGCATTTTTTCATTCACTCTTGTTTTGATCTGAATATCACTATATATTGATCGTAAAAGGAAGATCAAACATAGAGATATCCATGTTTTTCATATTTTATGCCGACAGATGGCCAATAAAAGGTCTGCAGCATAACTTATGATAGTTAGTTGAGTCAAAAGGCTTAAAAGTGTTAAGAAATTAATACTCGTTTTGCATAGTGCCGGCAAACAACTAGTGAAATTTTTTTGCCGTCATACCAAATTAATCCACTGTCTTTCTGGAAGGTATATATATATATATATATATATAATAATAAATATAATATATACCTTCCAGTGATGGAGAGCGATGGAAAAGATCTTGAAGGAAAAATAATGTCATGACATATTTATCAGAAACAATGCTGAGTGCATTATAAGTAAAATCCTTCTTTACAATTTTCAAAAGGTGTATGTACGTCGTTTTTTCTCTAAATGGATCCAGTATGGCGAATTTCACCAGCTTTGTGAAGATGGTTACACGATAGCTACTGAAACGTATGATTTCAATTGAATATGAATAACCATCATGAATATTTTAGCAAAATATTGCGTGATAAGTGAAATTCATCCAATTTCTCGGTAAACACACTTCATGAATTAGAATTGATTTTGATTGAAACCCAGAAATGATCTATTTCCATTATCCGAACGCCTATCATCAAGGGTTCTTTTGCATTCTTTTGTTAATATTTAATTTCTAGTGTGGTTACCGAATTAAGCTCGGCTTATGGCATGTCCTGTACTGTTACTGCAAAGCACTGACTAGAAATGTCTGTTAGCAGTATCGTATGACGTACACATGATATTTAGGGGGTCGCAACTCTTAGAATATGTTCTGAAATAACGACATATGAATATTTGAAAATCTGAGATTATCGTCTTAGCGTAAGTGGAGAATTAATTAGTTCCTGGATCGTCATTTGATGATTGAACTTGACCTATATTTCGTTGTATTATTAATGACAATTTGTTGGCAGCTTTAAATAGTTTCCAACATTCTTACTACAACTAGATATATGAATTTTAAAAGGCTTATAATTTGATATGATATACTGTACAAGTTAATACTGTTTGTCCTAGTGTCATTTTATTGTGCTTTAATGTATAAGAACAAATATCGAATTATCTGCGAAAACATATCTATTCTTAATTTTGACCTTAAATGGTTATTATAAGCTTTGTCCTAAGTCTGTGGTCTGTGTAAGAGTTGTGTGCCTTCAAATCTGAAACTTAGTTTGCATCCTTTTATTATTTAAGCCGCTCCTTCAAATATGGGCCTCAGCCAGTAGTCAACAAAGTTGCACAAATATCATCACTAGTGCTCGTATACAAAAATTAACAACATAAATTTTGCACGCTGATATATATATATATTGTAATGTTGAATATCTCTAGTTCAGAGTGAAAGCAGCAGTATTGTTCTTCTCCTGGCTTTGACATTTTAATGAGAATGTATCACAAACAATTAACGCTTTCATATCTTAAGTAGATTCAATTATCGACTCAGAGCTTTGCGTATATCACAACAATGTAAGCTGCTGCGCTATATAATAGTTCGGATGCAGATACAGAAAAATAGTCTACTGAAACTAAGGTGAACTGAAATGTACAAAAGAGAAACTAGTCATGTGTAGGGTGATGATTTTCAGAATTTGGGTGGTTAAATGGAATGAATACATATACACTATCGTTAGTCACATGGATCGAAGTCGTTGACAGTCTCCAGCCACTAGCTTAAACACCCCGACGGGACAGTTTACATCTGTTCTCCTGGCTCAAACCGACAGTGAGAGGCTTCATAGGTTGATGCTATTTCTCCATCTGACCATCCATAATCCTTTTCCAACTTGATCCTATGTCATATAATGTTTCTGGTCTAGGTAGGCGAGCCATCTCAATTAATGCAGCTTCACAATTTTAATGAACAATTTTCCCTCGTTACCTAACACTTTACTCCAAACCTCATCATTACTGACCATATTATACCATCTGTCTCTAGAGACTAAGCACAAGCACTTTTCATCAAATAAAGCTAATTTCTTAACACCTTCCAGTTTCAGCATGATAGTTTCCATAAAGTAGACGTAAATACATATGGTGTAAACTACAGCATATTGCAAGCGTCTTTTGATGGACAGACATTTTGTTTGAATCATGTGTAGTCAAATGCAGTATTTTTGGGTGAAAGTGAATGATCTTAACTTTATATTACCCTTGCATACACTTTCACCAAGTAAAGTATATTACGGCACAGTTTGGTCTATTATGGTTGACATAATTTACAATTACTTTATAGACTTTGGACATCATTCACTATTAGTCATCCTGATGAAAATCATTCGAAATTAAAGTAATTCAATATTTTTTTTATAATGTTCATACTGTGTATATCTGATTTTAGTCTCCAAAACCGCACCTTGCCTTAAGTATATTCATTTCGCTTTTTTTGTTGAATAACCAGGAACAACAATTATTTGTTGAAATAGGATTTCTTTATCTACTGATCGTTTGTTTAAACTCGCTGGAATTAAAGAGCAATAAGTCTTAGGAACCTTCGATTTGTATTTCTTATTATAACTAAACTTCGAAAAAAAATCTCTCATTTTTTTTCTAGATAAATACGTTTAAGAATGCTCAGAAAACTCTTAGTCTAGATAAATACCTACAGTCTGACAGTAAAACAGATTTTACTAAAGGTCGTACACATGCTGCAACAAAACAGGCGTCATTATATCGTTCACGAAAGTGTACACTGCCTACTAAGAAGTCACTTTATAAACAGATTTCAAGTTTATCTGCACAATCGTCAACTAAACTCAAGAAAGCCAGTCATCATGATATTATGCATAAACCGCCTATGGACAGTGATATAAATGGCACAAAGGATAGTAAGCCTAAAAAGGAGTTATTGGAAAGGATCGAAGTAAAGAAAGACTGTCAAGACTGGATATCTGATGAAAATAACTATTCCTCTGAGGCTGAGGATAATAATGCGGAGAGTGAAAAGTTTATAAATGAAGACGAAATTGAGGGCTGTGAAGAAGATGACGGAGAAGAGGAGCAGGAGGGGGATGAAGAATCTGATAGTCAGTCAACAAATAAAAGATATGAAGGTGCATATCAGCAGAATGTTCAAGGGAATTTAAAAGGGGTAAGTGTCTTAGAATTATGTTCTGCAGTAGATGAATAGTTTTAATTTCTTAAAACCTTTTGATATTTGATTAATAATATATATATATATATATATACATATGAAGATGGCTTTTACTACGATTATTATTTTCTTTCCTGCTGTCCAGTACTCCCAGGTTTTCCAGTGGTTCTCTAACTGATGTCAGCTCATGATTAAATCCTCCATGCAATCAAACACAAAATCCCTACAAAACCAATACTTGAGAATATTTTTAAACTGTTGTAAGCTTGATTACGAACTAAAGATCTACAACAGACAGTTTTACTTCGCTTCGACTTCGGTTAAATATATGGTGGAAGTATATAGTTATGTGTCTTATTGTTCATTGGAATTTGGATTGGTTGAAGGTATCGTGATTTCGCTGAAAACTCGTGATTTTGGGGGAATAAATCGGTTGTATTTGATTGATGCAACTTATAGGCTATTTTTTAACCACATATTTAAAATTCAATGTTTTTAACTACTTGGGTATTGTAGGCACATACTGATGAAAGTTTCAAAAACATTGGAAGTAAATCTCTGACACCTGCTGGTTTTCAGTGTGTACCTTTCTTAATAGTTCAATGAAAATTGTTTTATTTCAGAGTACTGAGAAAATCTATACACTCTTTTTCCATATAGTAACTTTTATTTTTTTTTTTTATTACTGGAATGTTTAACTATTAACTGTGAATGCAACTTAAATAATAACTAATCTCAGGAATCGAAAATAGGATTTAGAAAAAGTAGGCTACCTAGCGAAATTCCACAAGGTACGAAATTATACCAAAAAATGTTACGAATTCTCACACTAACTCGAATTTTAAATAATTATAATACTGGTACATTTAGAATATTAAGTGTCATTTTTGTAAAACATATTTTCAGTGTTATTTTTTCTAATTTCTTGTCAAATACTACACGGAAAAATAAATATAACGTTGACTTTATTTTCGATATCTTTTAAATCTTGGTAGTGTTTCCGGTTTGAGGAATAGAATACCCTGTGAGGGATAACTTATTGACACGGTTTATATTCACAAGATGAAAAGTGTTATTCATGAATATCTTCTCTGTCAATTCAATATTCTACATTACATAGCTTTGAACTCAAGTCTGAACTTCGGAAGGCATTACAAAACTGGCCTAAGGATATATCATACGCTAGTATTCGTAATCGCAAAGCTTTTGATGAACCGGCAAAATATAGATCCCTACTTTGTTTGTAATTAGTTTACGCTTGTAAGCAAAACACGATGAATGAACGTTATCAGTCTGATTTCTACACAGTTTTAGGAGTTAACGGAAGGTTTATGGAATTCTGATTAATCCGAGTAATCAATATGTTACTGGATTTCATCATGAGCTGACATTAGTTAGAGAACCTTGGAAAACCTGGGAGTACTGGACATCTGTTTCGTCCTAGTTTGGGACTATTCAGCAATACGCACCCACCGGGATCCTGAAACCAATCAAATTCCTACAAACCAACACTTGAATACCAATATGTTACTGTCTATTGGCTTTGTGTAAGAATTATCTGTAGAATACTGAGATAATGGCTGGCTGTATTCAAGCTTCTTATTTGAATGATAACGTGTTTATATCATAAACGGACACACTAGGATCAATCCCACTTGCAGTATTGGGTATGAATCAACTGTCTGGTGCTACTTAATCTTAAATAGGAAAAACCAATCGTGCACTCACTATAATCGGTACCACATTATATCACTACTGTATAGTATATATAATCCGGGTGAAGTGCCACTCTGATTCCCTATGGAAGCCAAAATTATTCAAACCAGTGGTTTTTTCTAGTAAGATGAAGGATATCTAAGCATAAAAAGAATTTTTCAATAGTGGTATAGTAATATCCTTAGCTGAACACCAGTTTTTCAGCTTCCTACATAACAAATTTATCAATCCAGTGCACCAAGCTTGAATTAAGTATATATTTAAGCTTTTTCCTGGACTCTACGAGTGAAAAATAAGGCTGAACACAACACAATATTTTAATACTTTTTTTTACTGAAAGTAGTCTGCTACCTGTTTATTTGTGCGTCGGTGTCACAGCAATACAGTGCTCGCCGACCACGCAGATGGTTCGGGGATCGATCTCCGGCCACCGACGCACTGCTTTACCTCGCTAAGCCAGTAATAAGACTGGTGAGGAGGGAAGGTTGGGCATGAGGCTAGCAACCGGATCCCATAAAAATAAGCACTACGGCAACGGCTTGAAGCCCTATGTTCCACTGGGGACGTAAATGAATGGAAAAACATGTTTATTTAATAAGTGAAGGCTGAAATATAGTTGTTTCATTGTTTTCTCTTATTGCTAACAAACATTTTCCTAATAATTAAATTTGGTTAGCCTACAGCGCGTACAGCTAAAAAAGAAGAATATAGTTTGACAAATATACGTGAAACTATCAGTCGTCTTCAAGGTAAAGAGGTAAGCCAGTAAACATTACGTTACCCATGATTTTCGCTTTTATTTTTAAATCATAGTAGAAACTCTGTTCGGTGTAAAACTTGACTTGTACAAGACTTTTAATTCGTTTTCTGTTTTAAGTCCATTCAGTTGACTAAATCGAGTACTCGACCGATAACCTCTACCTTAATGTACTGGATCATCACTGAACAGAGCTTGGAATGGCAGTCAGTCACCTCTCTATCTCGACTTCATCGACTTTGAAAAGGCCTTCGACAGCGTTGATTGAGAGGTGATTTGGCAACTACTTCGCTACTACGGGGTGCTGCTGACAATTATACATCTCATCCAACAGTTGTACGACAATGCTGCATGCCAAGTAATCCACAACGGGAAACTTACGGAATCCCTCGAAGTGAAGGTGGGAGTAAGACAAGCTGGTTGCCTACTATCTACAATGATTTTCCTGATTGCAGTAGATTGAATAATGTGACAGACAGCAGGCAACGAGGAAACAGGTATAAGATGGACTCACACAAAAAACTTGGAGGATCTGGACTTTTCCGATGACATATGTGTGATTTCCCACAAACTGGAAGATATGCAAGTGAAAAGCCAACAGCTTGGCAAGGGAAGCATCCAGAGAAGATCGGACTTCAGGTGAACATAGAGAAAACAGAGGTGATGAAGATTCCCGTCAATAGCAACAGCCATGGCAAGAGCAACAGACAACAATCAGCCAGCATAAATGGGAGAAATCTGAAAGAAGCAACCCCTTTACATACCTACCTGAGAAGCATCGATTCAACTACAGGCGAAAGGAACTGTCGAAGATATCAAAGCAAGGATCAGGAAAGCAAGACAAGCTTTCATTACTCTCAAGTCTTGTGGAGGTTAACAGCATTCAGTATGAAAATGAAAATAAGATCCGGATTTCCAACTCCAATGTGAATTCAGTGCTAATTTATGGATCAGAGACTTGACCAGCGCATCATGAAGAGCACCGCAAACAAACTACAGACCTTCATTACCAGCTGTCTTCGCTTAATTCCACTCAAGATTAGATGGCCGGCCGGAAAAGATCAACAACAGTGAGTTCTGGAGCGAACCAACCAGGAACCGATTGTGCAACAAATAGGCGGGAAGAAATGGAGATGGATTGGCCATACTCTGAGGAAACCATCAAACGACATCACTAGACAAGCATTGCTCGAGTGGAACCAGGCCGAAAGGGAAGCGGCGAGTTGGTCGTCAGTGACAGGGTGGGGTGACTTGGAGGAGGTCATGTGAAGAGGAGATGAAAGCATGTGGGCAGAATTGGAGCCAGGTGAAAACTCTAGCAGAGGACCGAACGCAATGGAGACGCGTGGCTGAAGCCCTGTGTTCCTCTAGGAATTAAAGGTAATAGTAATAATATTGTACTGGTTGGTCATGCGTATCTCAATGACTCAAGGATCTATATTGGATGAAAAGAATATTGCTGTATGTTGAAAGACTCCAGAAAGGTCAGCTTTGAACTAGGAGTATCAACTAACATAATGGAATTGAATGACTATAAGCAGTTTTTTTGAAGTCATACTTCTAGCATGTAGGAGCGTAGTCGTAGTAAGAATAACTAGTCAACCAGTTATGCGGCTTTCCGCTATGGTGATGAGTGGTGGGAAAACGTCAGCTTTAGGTGAGCTCCAAAATTTCCAACATATCGAGAAGCACTGTTTCACCTTGTGACTGACAGCGTAAAGCCACTGATACACATAAATAAATCATCTGGCTGTAAGTCGTCGACAGAAAGGGTTGGAGTTAGGCTGCATATCCCTTCTGAACACCGACGTGGATTCTTGTTATTCTTTAGTACGTGTACTGTGTATGTCTACGACGTAGACGACAAGCGTCTTCGAATCCAAACTTTTTGTTGAGTATGGCAGTAATAAATATCTTAAGGATACCTAGCACTATGTCTAGTATGAAGAAGAAAAAGTGGCAAAGACTGTTGGAAAGTTAGTGAATACCATTTGATTGAAATTCATAGGTTCATACTGCCATATATATTGATAGTATAGAATTAGCAGATCAAATAACTCAAAATTTTAATAAAATAAACAAGAATGAAACCAACCAGGTAGGTGAAATAGGTTAAACGAATACGAAGAGTGAATACATGTAAATTGTTGTTGTAGATTGAGCTGAATCAATGGGGGTGAAAAACAGCTGACTTCTTTGTTGCATGGAAAAAGTACACAATTTAGAACAACAGGGAATAAGTGAATTAACAGACCGGTGCTATGTTACACTTTGGTTAGTGCAATTTCTCCCTGTCAATAACTTACACTATTTTGCACTATAAACCAAAGTGTCCTATATATATATATACAGGTTGATTATTCTATACTCTGCTTTATCTTCGATGGCCTGTCAGCTTAATCCCAGAACAATTCGTCTGTTGGCTGAATTTCTCTCGAGGGACGTTATAAATCCATGTGTACATAAATACACATAACTAATTATCTATCATGTATTCAAGTGAGAAATATATTAAATTTCTATAGTTGTGATTATTTCGCTTTAAATTCCCTCTTAAGTTGTTACAGAGAGCTCAAGCAATGGAAACTGAATTTTATGAACGTCTAATTGAACTTAGAAAAGAAAATGAAATAGAAGTATCGAAAATTGTGAATCGGAAAAATGCAGAATTAATTGCTGTACAAAAAGCTGCGGAGGCGAAGCATCGTGAACTTCGTGAAGCTGTAGACAAATTAGAAAACCAATTATCCGAAGCGATCAATAATGCTGATCAAACAAAACGCAATTCTGAAGATAAGGTACATGCTCCATTTTTAACAATTTGGTTTAACTTCTGACTCATGGAAATCAAAGTTCTAACTGATTTTAGAATGCAAATTATGATTTGATACATTTGGAGGAAATCCATAGTGTCTGAAATTGGAATTTAGTCAGTTTCTGAGTCTTCTGCCTTAACCAGTTCGTTGGTGGTTTGACTACTGCGCCTGATTATGTTAGTATCAGACAACAAAATTGATGTTATTATAGATGATTTTAACAACCAATCAACGATTGTGTCACTTCTTAGTGTTGCCGAGTAGTTTTTCTTTTGAACGAGTAGGTGGTGAAAAATGTATCATTGAAGTGAAGGAAAATACTCTTGAGAAGCATTTAAGTTCAAATTTTTGTATTTACTAAAACTTCTGTGTAAACAACAAATGAGAATACAACACTATGCAAAATGGAATGTTCCACATAGGAACTGACTCCTCCTTTGTCTGAATTAAGTAGTTGGTATTCATGATAAAAGCAGTTGTTAAGTTTGTGCACATCCCCATTTCATTGTATCAGTGGGCTCTTCATTAGGAAAATGCTTCTGAGAAATGCCTGTTAATAGTTTATCCACAGGCTGTTGAAATCTATTAGTGTGGCAAGTACTGACAGCATAATTTGTCACTCCTCATTTTTTTTTAATTCCTTCACGTTCCCAGTGGAACATAGGGCCTCAAGCTAGTGGCTTGAAGTTTCTGTAGCAGTGTTTATTTTACAGGATGGGTTTACTGGCCTCATGTTCAACCTTTCCTCTTTACCAGCATTATTTCTGGCTTAGTGAGGTAAAGGACTGCGTCAGCCGGGGATCGAAACTCGGACCATGTGCATGGTCGGCGAGCGTCCTAACTGCTGTACCACCGACGCACGTCACTCCTCATACATCCATATTACGTAAGAAGACAGTAAGAATAGTAGCAAAAAAATGAAACAAGAAAAGGTAATTGATGTAATCCGAATTCTCTGAACCCTCTGAGACAAAATAGTAAAGGGGTCAAAAAAGCACGATAATACCATCGGGAGAAAAATGAGAATTCAGCGCATCTATATCATTATGACAGATTCCCATCTATAGATCTTAACCAGACAACCTTCATTTCTCCATAGTATTCAGGTTGAAAGCCAGTTACCATATTTTGTTTAGTTATATATATATGTGCGTCGGTGGCACAGTGGTTAGGACTCTCGCCGACCATGCACATGGCCCGAGGTTCTGTCTCCTGCCGACGGACACCTGATATCTATGGTCAGCCTGCAAAATTTGGGCTACCGATATCCATGCTGAAAATTCCATACTTGTACCAAAAATACAGTGTGGAATCGAGCTGTAATCAAAAATAAAATAAAAAAGGATTGTCCAACAGTAACTGGCCTTATGCCCCGCTGCACAAAGCCCTAATGAATACTCTTTGTCATAATGTAATGCTAGTTAGTCAAAACTGTTTGATTTTCTCCTATCTTAGGTGTTCGATTGTTTACTTTTCATCACCAGACTTGTTGATTTCTTCAGTATTAACAAATAGTTACTATAATCCTAATTTTATGTTGTTAATCATTTACTTATGATTTTGTTTTTAGTAGTAGTATCAATAGAAGCTTCTCTAATGGAGCGAAACTCACAGTGTCAGTCGGTGAAGCATGAGACTGTATTATTAGTGTTATTTTTCAGTAATTATAAAAACCTATTACCCTGTTTCTCAGATAGAAACTTACTCTAAACTTGTTGGTAAAACTCAGGCGTTGCGTAATAGTGACAACCAAACAGTCCATTAGCATATTGTAATGTTATGTTAACTGCTTAAAGCCATGTGTTATCTCTTATCAAATTTCACACCATGTTACGTAACATTTTACATTCGTCTATTAATCTTACAATTATATGCCTCTCCCTAAAATCTATACACCTGATGTATTATCTTATATATGACATTAATTATTGTTCCACTTGACTTAAACTATGAACCTAATCACAAATATTTTAAATTTATTTCATACTATTATTATTTCATGTATTTACACCTTTGACCTAATTCCCTCACCGGATATAATTTCTTTATAAAACCATATATATATATATATATATATACGATTGTACAGCTTGATAATAAATTCGTTGAAAAGAGTCTCTTCGCTGAAAATTGTGTTCTTAATGCTACAATGGGAATTATTAAATTATCTCTTTTCGCCCACAGATGAATCAGTTACAGTCTATGATGAACAGACAACTTGAGAATCTTTTGAAGCAGTCTAGCGAACAACGGAGTTTCTTATTAGAGAGCATGAAGAAACACTTAAAAGTTTAAAGTCAGCCAATGAATCAGCTAGAAAAGAAGTTGAACGAAATAAAATTCTTATTGAAGAGTTGGAGTCACAATTGCGACTAGAGGTGAGGTAATTTTAAATGTATCAAAATTGCAAATTCCACCAATTTTAAGATGTAATCTGTAACTAATAGAATACGATAAGGAATGGAATTCTTACTAGTTTGAAGTTTTGGGGTCACAGGCTGGTGACCATTTTTTAATTACAAAATGAAGATTACCAACTAAGCAATGACGTAGTCACCTGATTTACTGATATAGTTAAATGATAGATAACACCAGCCTTATGTTTTATATTCTGCTGTATCTAATTATCAACAAGATGACTGGCTAATTGTTAACTTGTGTAAACTAAGTGATTGATCTGATCCGAATGAAAACTTACACATTTACTAATGATAGTCAGAAAAATCCCTGAGGTTTACCTAAAGCGCTATACACTTATTTAAAAAAACACTTAATAAAGTATAACGTGACAACCCAAAACAATAGCTAAACCCAACAAATCTTATCTGTGATGGGTCGTGACTCAAAGTAGAGCAAAAATATGGGTTGTAGTTGGGTTTGAACCAGACACTGCAAGTAGTTTAATACTGTTATCTCATTGAAAAATACAATAAATAAAGGTAGGTAGGTCTGTGAGTGCTTGTTGAATCGTAAACTAAAACGAAATAAATCACTTACTGAATGCGAGCTTAAATTATAGAAAAAGATCACTATATGCCTGTAAAATAATGAAACAGTTCTTTCTTTATATTCTAGAATCATTCATCAATGTACACATTCAACCCTGTCTAGTGTCTAATTGTCAGCACCATTTTGGTGAAAGATTTATTAGTTCTTAAGCATTGCTTACTGCAAAAACAACTAGTTGAACATACTCAGAATAGTATTCATCTCTACAGATGCAAATTTTTTATTTTTATTTATTTATTTTTGATTACAGCTTGATTCCACACTGTATTTTTGGTACAAGTATGGAATTTTCAGCATGGATATCAGTAGCCCAAATTTTGCAGGCTGACCATAGATATCAGGTGTTCGTCGGCAGGGGATCAAACCCGGACACGTGTATATGAATTCCTGGAATGATTATCGAAATTTTTACTCACAAAATGAAGATATCTTAGTCAGTACGAAAATATTTTAATAGATAGTTTGTAATAAATATTTGCTTAAATTTATATTCCAATCAAGAGCTTTCTATTTTTCATTTTTATGTTTCAAAGTGTGGACAAAGTAAACACTTACAAGAACAGCTGTCAAAAGTAATGTCAGAAAAAAGTGAACTGCAAGATTCACTAAAAACTGAAGTTGAAAAGGAAGGTGAATTATCGAAGAAGTTTAAACAGCTTCAATGTAATTTCGATGAGATAAATCAACGGTAAATGCATTTAAAGATAACTTTTTTCCCCCTTAATTTATTCCATAGTGGTCATTATAAATAATATCACGAGGCTTGATGATGTTAGTGCTGAAGGTCTTGCCTGACCTGGTGATGAAAAGTCCACGATCAAATATCAAGTACCAAACTGATTCTGGGTTACAAATCTGTACTATTCCGAATAGCTTACCCAATTAGGGTAATACTACAAATAAATTATTATAACTTGACTATATTACTTAACGTGCCTCGGTGGCGCAGCGATAGGACGCTTGCCATCAGCGGATGTGGTCGGGGGTTCGATCTCCGTCCACCGAAGCACTTCTTTACCTCGCTAAGCCAATAATAAGACTGGTGAAGAGGGAAGGTTGAGCATTAGGCTAGCAACCCCATCCCCAAAGAATAAACACCACCGATACGGAAACTTCAAGCCTTTAACTTGAAGCCCTATGTTTCACTGAGAACGTAAAGGAATGAGGAAAAAATTGTATTCCAACTGATAGTCTTAGTAATTGGCAAACTGGGGATGGTAGGATTTAGAACCCAGTTAGTGGTGGCTCCTACCTGCTTCAGTTTACAGTCGAAAATTTAACAAGATATATTTAAGTATACTTTATCGAGCATTATTTGATTTGAGCTTATTAAATCAGTGATACTCGAAATTGCTTGTTCGCTGGGGACTAGCAGTAGATGCGCCTTCGTCCAATCGAGAGCTTGTCACCTGCATTTACTTGCTTCCTAGTGAATGGTGGTGCACCCACTGATACTAGAACCTAGTAACCATCGCTTTAAATGCCATAGGATTATTCACTGGGCCACTGAACCGCATATACGGGTATGATTTGAAATAATTTATTCATGTTTATGACTCCCCGTTGGTTTATTGGCTGCTGAAGACGATCAGTGTGCTCGGATATGTCAGTAAGAAATGAAAAGCATGAGAACATCAGTGATACTTTTCACGGAGCATTTTTAATTCCACCTAGACTGACTGCTATTGCTAACTTTCCAAGATCCCTGAAGTGATTTTCTTATTGGCATTCTAAAGATGCTTTTCTAAATTATTGATGGTGGAATGTATTCGCAAAACATTAGTCATCCAGTGTTGGACGAATGCTTGGTTGGTATTAGCTTATCAATTCGTTGGATGATTGTTTCAACAAATACTCTTCGTGGCACAATAGGCGGCTGTTGTTATAATGCTGCTGAGTTTGAACTGATGAATGCTGGGTTTAATTCTCAGGGGGAACACCATTAGTCGCAAGGATACGGTTCCGAATAGAACGAAACACGCTTTTCTGAATTCACTACTAGCCACCGATCTGAGATCACTTGCTTAGCTCACAGTATTCAAAACTTTATCTATCAACTGCTGTTAGTAATTGGCGCACTCAAATATCAAATCATATCGTGTAGTAATCGCTTCTGGTGTATAGTTATTGCTTTTAGTGGTCTGATAAGCTAGACATTGTAGGTCAGACTGTGTCGTATTTATAACCATCTTATCATATCTTCTGTGTACGGAAGTTATTAATTTTTATTTGTGTTTTATACAGACATCAGGCATTAGAGTCAAAATATCAAACTTGTCTGGAGGACCATCAACAGGAAATGAAGGCTATTCGTTCAGAACATGCTAAACGCATAACTGCTATGGAGATGGAATTAACAGAGAATGAAAAGCAGTACAAAACTAATATAGAAAGCATTAAAAAAGAGGTAGTGGTATAACTCAGAATTCCACAGACTTAATTTCTATTTATTTAAACAAAAATTCAAACTGAAATCCAAACAGAAAAAAGACGGTACCGAGGAATTTCGAGAAACGACCATGTGTGACCTCAGAGCTTTCTATCTTACTTTTGGTAGTCATTTGAATGGCCCTTTTAGACAATACATTTTATACTGCATATTGACGATGTTGTGTTTACCAGTATGACTCATCTGTCCTTAAATTATATAGTATGTAACAACTGTGTTACAATTTGGTAAATACATACTCTGGGGTGTGCTCAATTAAAAGTAATATTTGAGCATTTGAGTCGAACCTGCTGACTGGCTGTCAGGCAACCATCCAATTAGGCGATCTGATGCTCAGTGGTGTAACTTAAAGTTTGAAATCCAGTGCTAACCCTAATATCTATATTATATTTCTTTAAAACAATAGTACAAAGTGTTGGCAATAAACAATTAGAGACTATTCAAAGTAGGTTATTTGTTTAATTCTCTTTCAATTGTTTACCTATCAGAGATATTAATTGACTTAATCAAATTTTAAATGTGGGTATACTGGTTAATTCAAGGCAGCCGAACCGTTTGAATCATTTTACCAAAACACAAAGTAATTAATTCTAGTATGACAACGATATTATAATGAGTTAAAAAGTGTAAAAAGTTTTATAACTTGAACATCTTTTATTTATAAGTCACCTTTATCGTTTAACAAGAGAATACAAGGGCGAGGCAAAAGATCGTTTATTAAGGAAATCAACAGGTATTTATAGATTTTCATGTACATATTATTGATTATTGTTAGCAGAAAAACAGTCTTCTGACTGGTTGTCTCTCACAGAAAGTTAACCTTGCATCTCTTTGTGGCTGTTTTTTGAATGCCAGATCATCTATATGTTAACTGTATCCGCCTACGCAAAGCCTTTGTTCTCATTTTTCTCACGACCAATATTGGGGACATAAACATTGACGTAAATTACTGTCCACCAATTTGACTAACAGCCAGCTCTCACCACAATCCTATTCCAGTTTATATCTGTTTTTCTGTACTACCAGGCATTAAATGTAACAGGAAGTCAATTTTAAGGATTTTGTAGATGTAAGTTTTGTACTGATCGGGACTTATAAAAAAAAGCATCTGTAGTCTTTAACAAACTTATATTCCTTTTACGATGTAAAGCTGCATGAGTCAATGACTCCGTCAATCAGTCGGAGACCTTATCATTGTGCTGTTTACGTTACAAGTATGTTGACGGTTTATTTTTATGCGAATTGACCGATGTAACTGTGGGATTCATGAATGATATGAAATTCCTTTTGTTTCGTTTAAACTACTCTGATAAAATACTTGAGTTCGTTTGATTCTACTAAAATATCTTTATTTTTAGGCTTGGAAAGATTCAACTGATTTCAAGGCAGACTTCGTCACATATAATTATCAGTTGGAGAACCATTATAAATTAGGGGGAGCTAAAAAGAACTGCCTCATTCTACTTTAGCAACTTCTCAGCAGTCCTCACGTATAACCCTATCGGAAATTTAACCTAATTCCTTCGAGTTCCAAGGCCAACACAGCACATGCATTCAAGCTTCTTTCACTCGATAACAAGAACTTAGAAATCAGTTCATTATCTGTAGAGTGAATAGTTTCCAGATCAATTTTCTGAAGTTCTGTTAAGAATTCATGACCAATAGTGTCCCCTCCGTCGGTTGTAGTGATAACTACTTTCTTTTGCTACTGGGTGAAGATGAGGCTAAACAAAGAATTGGCAGAGTTTCAAATTCATAGACCACTGGATTCCAACCCAGTGTCTGTGTTAAATCGATCTCCTCATAATCTGGAGGTATTAGATTCCACTACCGAGGAGGTTAAGGCAGTGCACTGGTGCACGAATCGAAATCAGCATATTAAATCTTTCCAGTGCTTCCAGGTTTTCTTTATTACCTTGGTTAATTTTCTGTCTGTGAGTGATTTAGTCTAGAAGAGTTAGTTGAAGTGTAAAATATGTTGTCAGTTAACTGTTTGCTTAAAAACAAACAGTCTATCATTTTTAAGTTCTACGTGTTTATGGGACAGACCAAACAAACGTCATCAGATTTCATGGACTTGCAGTGGTCTGCGAAGCCGAAACAGGCGATATTTAAACAATGACGAAATTAAAGCAGTATCTAAGATGTGAACAGTCTTGTTATTGACTCACTGCTTTCAGCGGTCTGTATGAATACTGACCACTTATGATGGTACTTAATGTAATATTTATGTGTACCAATAGCTAGCCTATGAACCGGTATAGTTAGTTTGAGTTCGTTGTCTAACCTCTCTGCTGCAGGAGTGTTCCCGTTCCCCAAAGTTTCTATCTGCGGTATTTTTAGCCACATTAATATCGACCAGGTGCAATAGATTGTTTAGCTACTGCAATGACACAGTTTATCCACCCAACAGTAAATGATAGGTTCACTTCTACACACCAGTTTATTTCTAAAGTCATTCAAACATGACTAGCTAGTTGGTTTTTCCATAGGAATTATTAAAAATAATGTATGATGTTTTTGGCTAATCAAAATTTCACTGATAGTATTTTTATTTATTGTTCTTCAAGTTTAATTCTAAACTGGAAGACAGTCGTTTATCTTGCGAACATCAAATAGAAACCAGGGTCAAAGAAGCTGAAACACTTGGCTATCAAAACTGTTCACAAATTAAAGATGCTGAAATCAGAAGCTTACAACAAACTATTAAAGAGACTAAAGAATTAAATTCAAATAATGAGGTAAAGTGAATTGTTTAAAAATTTCACTACAAATTTGATTTCAGACAGTACTGTTTAATTTTAATTTATGTTTATCAGTATTTAATTGGTGGATGGTGACTAGCAGTGGAATTCAGGATGTGCATTTCGTCCTATTTGGGACTCGTCATTTGAACGTACCTGCATTCCCTAGTGAGTGATGACGTTCCCACCGAGTCTCGAGCCCAGTGCCCATAGATTCAAATACCACGGCGTTATCCTCTAGACCACTTGAGCCACCTCTTGTGCAACTGGTCAGATTAATTATTTAATTGAATTTTAGATTTTCCCGTCGATTGACCCATTGCACAAAAGGTGGCTTTCATGGCCCAAGTGGTCTAGTTGATAACGCTTTGGCGTTTGAAACTATGGGCACTGGGCTCGAGCCCCGGTGGGAACATCATCATTCACTGGGGAATGCAGGTACATCCAGGTGACGAGTCCCAAATAGGACGAAATGCGCATGCTGGATTCCACTGCTAGTCCACATCTACCAATTAAATTCTAATTACATGCCCAGAAATCGTCGAAGCATCTGCACAAGAAGCCAACATGTCAACCTGAGACCGGGCACTTCGGTTCAATCAATCGATGGGAAAATCTAAAATTCAATTAAATATGCTTATGAGTGTTCAGTACACATTTACTCCGACTGGTCACAGTTTAGAGAAAGTTAAACAGAAGTACTCAAAGACAAAGTTTTTCCCTAAATTATTATTTATTGCCATGTAGTCCTATATGTGAAACTTTGCCCGATGCATTCTTTGCATGGACTGGCGATTGTTTGGTCTAGCAGTTGTTTAGTGCTCAGATAAATACACCCTGTGATTTCAAATTGGTTTAATTCTATAAGTATCCACCAACAGGGCTTCTGAATTGAACATATATATGTATATATATATATATATTGCATAAAATTTTAAACGTTTTATTTTTTTAATTGCATCTAACTTCAAAAATTAACTAAGTAACATTAATGAAAATGACATAACAGAATTTTTCTGCTCATCACTTTTGAAATATCTTTTAGCGCCTAACAGTGAATATTTAGACATTACTTCTGTTTTTCTCTGGAACCAGTCAGTTAGATGTACTTGTCTCCAAATGGATTTTAGCATTCCGATAAACTAGATCAGTATATTCATAGGAGTATACAACATTAATGGACATAATGTTAACAAAACATCTGATTGAAATCAGTCAGATGCAAGATAACTCAACTAGATGCCTATCGCACTTAAGGGGAAACTGTCAACCGATTACTTGAGTTGACAATTTTGTCTAAAGCGACTATAAAAGCTTAGCAATTAAATCATCCACCTCATAGAACATATCAATATCGAAGTATAGTGTCAACTGTAAGAAATTATACTTCAAAAGAGATCCTTGACTCTGAGGACAAGTGGTTTAATTTAAAAAAAATACTGTGTTAAAAGGTGGCAGCAAGATAGACGAGCAGACGAATTACTAAGTTTGTTAGAACAAATCGAACTACCGGATAGTAGAGTGTAGTGACTTTATTCATATCTTTAGAGGTTTATGATGTGTCAGCCGTCATCAAGACTTTACAGTACAAAGAATTCGAATTTTTACTTTCTAAAAGAGGCCTGAAATGACTTAATAACTCCTGGTTCTTTAATCGATGTGGATTCATAACAAAATCCATCCTTAAATTTTCTTTGGATTATCTAAGTATGTCATCTCTCATTTCGTTCTAAGTGGTCAGGTACATACTTCAGAGTCTGTGCTGTTTGTTATTGCCTCACTTTGACACGTCTATTCAACTTTTCCCAGGAATTGTATATGGTAAGAATCTTTTAAGAATACAAGCATATGTTCGTCCGTTGTCAAGACATCACTTAATTTACTTACTTTTAAAAGTATGAAACTTCTCACCCAATTCCTGTTCACTTTCTTCTTTGATGTGTTCAATTCTCAATATATTTAGATAAAATATCAAGAAATTATAAGCCAACTCAAACGAGATATCACCAAGTTAAAGGATACCATAAAAGAGATTAAAGATCTTTATGAATCTAAAGAAAACCATCTTCTGACTACAATCAAAAAATTACAGGAGCAGCATCAATCTACGCATAACACTTCGCTTAATGATAACACGATAAATGAAACAAATTCAGTGCAGACAAACTTTATTAGTGAAATGAATCCATTCATAGAAGTAATAAGTGAAAAATTGTCCAGTCAATTTACTCAATGGAGACATCAACATGTACAAGAAGCAATTATGTGTGCAAAACAAGAAGAGATTAATCGCTTAGAAAGTGAATTTAAACAAAGAGAGAATGTGATACGTAACGAATTGTCAGAGAAACTTGAGAATGTAAGCTGGACGATGATTTTATGTGTATTCTACTTTTCTATTGATGCACAAATAACTACTTTTCCACGTGTTTAACATTGAACTTGATTTTTTAATTTTTTTTAATTTTTGATTTTTGATTTACAGCTTGATTCCACACTGTATTTTCGGTACAAGTATGGAATTTTCAGCATGGATATCGGTAGCCCAAATTTCGCAGGCCGACCATAGATATCAGGTGTGCGTCGGTGCGGGCTCGAACCCCGGACCATGTGCATGGTCGGCGAGAGTCCTGACCACTGTGCCACCGACGCACAGTGCATACACAAATAGTTAAAGTAATGCTTATTAGCTAAGTTTAATCTTGTAACTGGTTTAGAAAGAGACCTTTTACCTTTTCCGTACTTGTTTCAATCCCCTGAAGCTGAAATAAGGTTTAGGCAGTCAGTATCACAACAGTTAACTACCTGCTGGCCGAATCCAGCCCCATCTACTTGGATTTAAGAAGCTAGTTAGCTCCTACTAAACTGTTTTGACTAAGTAAAAGTGTTGACACCGAAAGTAGGATTTCACGCAAAAGGAGACTATAGCCTGTTTGCTTAAACATTTAATTTTCAGCTGTCATATCTTGTGTTTGAATCTCAATACACCTACTTTGGCCAGAAAAACCAAGTATTATCATAGGCTCGAACACAAAATTTGACTTTCATTCTAATACATAAAAATTCTTTGATAGACGGGATTATGTATTACGAGTAACTGATGTGTGTCAAATAATTACTACAAGTGAGCATTTATAGCCTGTTTGATTGAAACTGTCGTTAAGAATTGCAGTATGTTTCAGGACGTCTAAAAATAGTGTTTTGAGAATACATACACTATTAAATTGTTGCCATGTACCAAAACTATGCATGTGATACCTAATTCTTCTCTGTAGCTATTTATTTATTCACTGAAACAAATGAACAGTCAGTGAAATATGCTTTAGAATTGGCACAACAATCTCTAGTCTTTGAATGCCAGGTAGAATTTGTGAATGATCTTTAAAAGTATATAACGGACTGCGTTTCCTCTAGCTCAAATAAACAAACCTGTTTGGGATTTTATAAGCTAACAGTGATTTACTGATTATTTCCGTTACCTGGTGGTCTGCTTAAATCTCTTGGCTGGCTAAATTTCCATTCAAGTATAATCGATAATGCAAATCACAGTTTGCTGAATTACTTTGTTAAATGTAGACTCAATCTTTGATTAGTAAAAGAAAAGATTTAACCGACGCTGATTGGTTGAAATATAACTGTCAACTTTATCAGTGTAGATTTAACAAACTTGGGTCACTCAGGAGGATATTTAGCACTACCACTCATTTTTTAAGTGGAATGTCATTTATAAACCAGTTTAAAGAGTTGATTTATTTTAAACACTACGAGTAAGTAATACAAGGCATTTATTCAATCTGGATGCAACAAAACACTTAACTGAACTCATCAAAATGGTAGACTACGAGTTTAACGATAGAGACATACGAATGTGCGTCGGTGGTACAGTGGTTAGGACTCTTGCCGACCATGCACATGGTCCGGGGTTCGAGCCCACGCCGACGCACACCTGATATCTAAGGTCGGCCTGTAAAATTTAAGCTACCGATATCCATGCTGAAAATTCCATACTTGTACCAAAAATACAGTGTGGAATCAAGCTGTAAATAAAAAATAAAATAAAAAAATAAAATAAAATAATAAAATCGGAAAAATCAGCCGGAGATGGTTCATTATTAAAACATGAAAGTGTATTCTGCTAGATGAAATTCAATCACTATAATAATGTATTATTAATTTCTTTGAGAACTTCAACTGTTTTATCACTCAAAATCTTAGCAGAAACACTTACTATGAAACATGGTTTAAAAAAAATTATACTCAGTTGAGAGGGTTTAAATGTTATTGACTAAGTTGTTGGGATAAACATTGGGACTCTTCATTAGTGAGCTTGTACCACCATCAGTAAAGTATATTGAACTATGTGATCAGTACATTACAATTCAAGCATTTGGTTTTCCAAGTCTCTGCTAATTATATTTAACTGAGAGTGGTGTAAAGTTATTTGGAAAAGTGGAATATTTAATAAACGAAAACTGCTCTCGCGTCTCATCAGTCAGTACAAGAATGTTAAATTAATGATGCTTGTATACAGTTCAAATAAGCAATACACTAAGTACTACTGTTTAACCTCTAAAGTTCTAGTAATTATATAATAAATATTATCTTATTCACTACTGATTTAGACTCAAAATGAAAAGAATCGAATAATTGAAACACTTAGCCGCTCATTAGAAGGATCAAAGTTAGACATATTAAGACTTGAAGCTGAACTTAAAGAAGCTAGACGTATAGCAATTAAAGAAGTTGACTTAAGACGTGAACAACTATCAGAAATTAGTTTAGCTCGAGAAACGGAACGTAAAGAATTAATTTCAGAACATGAACACGCTATGAATGAAGAACAACAAAAAAATGAAGACATTATACAACGAATAAAACAACAACATGCTGAAGAAATAAAGTCAATATCTTCTCAGGTAATACTGTGTTATTGTCATATATGAAATTTTTTCATTTACTAGTACGTTATCATTAAATTCATGTATTTGTTTAGTTTATGGCTCACTGATTCAAATGAAAATCAATAGAACGACACATTGGATACCAACTGAAGTCTTTATTAAGCATAAATGCGCTTACATCGTTATTTTACATTAAGTTAAATGCTTACTGCTATTTTATAATAGTGAAATAAATAACTCTGATGAATTTATTTCCTTCAGATGAAATCACTGTAGTAATAGGGCTTTCAGTGTTGCGCAGGACAACAATACCAGTACTGGAAACATTTACCCCAGCATCTTGCTCACTCTTACCTTATAAAACACAAGATAAGTAACTGTTTATATTAGGATTCATGCCGAAAAAGTTTATTTGCTATTTAGTTTTCATCCACATATCTTTATATCTTAAAGTGAATTTTAATTGTCCAGTTAGCCTGGATAATGATCCAGGCAACGTCTGGGAATCAGAGACGGTTCCATCAGACTGGGGTAAGTCACTTATTATACCGATATTCCAGAAGGGAAACAAGTCCTCATGTGATAATCATAGGGGGATCAGCCTAACGAACATTGTTTCTAAAATCCTAGGCTCAGTGATCATGCACAGACTAAGCAGAACTCGGGAGGAACAAACGAGAGAAAATCAAGCAGGCTTTACACCAGGTAGAGGGTGCATAAATCATATCTTCACTCTCCGACAGATTCTAGAACATGGACACACTTTTCGGCGTCCAACAATTGCTATATTTCTTGACTTGAAGGCGGCCTTCGACTCCTTGGGTCGAAAGCTACTATGGCAATGTCTGACTGTGAAGAGAGTGCCAAGAGAGTACATCGCACTAATCAAGTTACTCTATTCAAACTCACGTAGCCGTGTAAGGGCTTATGGAGAATTGTCATCTGAATTGGTAACAACCAGTGGTGTCCGACATGGATGTCCACTTTCCCCATTTCTGTTTAACTTCATCATAGATATGCTGATGGAAGTATTCTTAACTGTGAACGTAACGACTTAGGAATCGACTTATTACCAGGGAATAAATAGTCTTATGGACTTAGAATATGCAGATGACATAGTCCTGTTAGGGGAGGATGCTGAAAAAATGCAGAGTCTTCTGAACACCTTGAGCAGCAATCTTCGTATGTTAGGCATGCGATTCGCCCCTGTAAAATGTAAGATGCTGCTACAGGACTGGACTACGTCAACGCCTAGCTTAGTGATAGGGGGGAGTGAATTGATAGAACATTTTGACCACTTCACCTATTTGGGAAGTTGTATTAGCACCAACGGACTGATTGGCGATGAAATCTCAGCACGGATCCGAAAAGCTCGAGCTGCTTTCGCTGACTTACACCATCTCTGGCGTAGGCGTGACATCCGGCTATCAACCAAGAGACGTGTGTACTGCTCAGCAGTTCGCTTCGTCCTTCTCTATGGCTCTGAAACATGGCCAATACGAGTTGAAGACATGAAAAGGTTGACTGCTTTCGATCATAGATGTCTGCGATCTCTGTCTCACGTTAGGTGGTTTCACAAGGTAAGTAATGTTGACGTTAGGCGTAGAGTGTTGGGCAAAGAGGGAAAATCAATCGACGAGGCTATAAAGTTACATAGATTGAGATGACTAGGTCACGGTGCTACGCATGCCTAACCATCGCCTCCCCCGACGGGCATTACTAGCTGATATAAGTGCAGGTTGGGAAAGAGTAAGTGGTGACCAAACAGAAATATGGCGTCAATCCATGAAATCCTTGACAGTTAAACTGAGTCAGGTGGGGAGATGCAGACTCCCGGGTTGGGGCCCTCGGGACTCTAAGAATCAATGGCCGGAGACAATAAGTGACATGGTTTAAAATCGTTGTCAGTGGCGCAGATGTATTCAGTCTCTGTAATCTTTGATATTTATTTCTACCATTACCCATTCTGTTTCACTCTTATATTTGTCAGACTGTATTGATTCTCTTCACCCATCTTCTTGTGTACCTTTTTATGCTATTTGGAACGTGGCAACTCGAACTGGTGCACTTCGGTGCCAAGTTCTATGTTGATCCAGACAGACAGACAGATAGACAGACAGACAGACAGACAGGAATGATCCAGTCTCATGGCAACTGAGGTTTTCATTTCACGTTGAATCATAATCCCCTTAGCCAATATTGCTTTGCCAGTTTCATACAGGTCTACACAAAAAATAAAGAATGACTTTATAATGTCAAAGTTTACACAACAGCGAAGAAGTCCGGTTTCAGAAAGACACAAGCAGAATTAGAAAAAAAATGTATAAAGAAGCTGCAGCTGAAGTCATCTCGGAGAAAAGATGGTTAGATGAAGATTAATAAGTACTCTTAGAATCTAAAGTATGGCAATAATTGAATACATCTGGACTACTGTGAATAACTTCGACCCGTAGATTCCCAGCATTCCAAAGAGCCCAGTAGGACAGTCTACATTTTGTAACGAAAGGTTAATGAAGGAGCGAATGGATTAGTGTTTCATTTTGGTCTGGCCGCTTCTAACCTGGCTCATAGTTGTTTTCAGAGCCTGAATGGATAAGTTTCCTTGTTTCAAATAACTGGGATGACGCTACAGAATTCCACTGTCCTTTACCAAGTTTTTGTTGAATGTAATCATTGTGGGGTGAGGTTAAATCAAACGAATATGCCAGAATAATTTCGACTAGGGGAGAGCAAGAAGACGCCTAAATGTCGACTGGTGAATCCTAATAAGATATGGTATCTAGAAAAAAGTTACACTACAGCTCTGCATTCAGTCACAAACGATCACACGTTAGGATATATTTGTATAGGATCAAGTAACAGTTAAAAAGTACTATGCGGCAGAGTAGAAACAGATTAGTAATTGACGCTTTTTTATTGAATCGGTTCAAAATACGTGCAATAGGAATCAATGAACACTTGTTCTGCACATGTGAAAGAATTCTGCTAAATTTACAACAAATAAAAACGGAAATAGAACTGTAGAAATCAACTTGCAAAGTTGTAGGACTACTACTGATATCGCTAGCAACAGTCAATCATGTTTCGAATGTAATCCAAGTACATAACACTCTTTCATTTATACAATAATAAATAATCTAGTGTGGAATTAAATGCTGTCAAAGAGTCTAGATTTAACACATTTTAAAGAGACATTTTATTCAATTAGACATAATTCTATCAGTTTTCATAAAGCCATTATCATTACCCGTAAAACTATAATTTTGTTTTTTATTCATTGGGAGATACAAATTTCTAGTAGTAAGAAACCTTATATTTCTTTTAAGATTCAGTTTCCGCGATGGTTTGTTAGATATTGTTAACCTGTTGTAATCTTTAAAATGCATTTTAAATCCAAAAGAAGGAGAAACAGACTATTTTTTCTTGAATATTTAGAACTGTATCAGTGCTGGTGTCCGTTCCTCTATTCTGAGTCATTTCAACAATAAGAGGTGAACGGATTAACAATCTGACTTGGTTATTGTGCTTAATTGGTTTATCTGAAAGGACATCACTGTCACCTCAGAAATAATAGCTGTTGTAATGGTAATAATAAATAATAACTTCGCATAAATCACAGTTATTCATTTAAGGGTCTACTGTACTTTGATATTGTTTTCTTGTCAATAATTAATGCATATTATCACTTTTCTATTGAACAAATACTCATAAAGGCTGACGAGAAGCTGGCTGATATGGAAAAGGAATATAAAAACCGATTGAAGGAGGCGAATAAGGTTTGTTAATTTTCTGTTATTTTAGAATGGTGTATTTATCGAAAATCTGTTACACACAGCACGGGCATAGGTTAATCGAAGTTGTAATTATTCATAGCGTTACTTGTATATTCGAACATCCTGATTTGGCTGTACTTGATTTATATGTAAACAAGTGGCCAAATGACAGCATTTTGAGCGAAAGATTAGGGTGTACATACCATTAACTGACACAAGAATCTATAGAAGATATATGTATGTGTATGCTTGACAAAAAATGGGCACCAAAAGAAGCTCCATACAGTGACAATAGAATACAGCCTGTAGAAAGAACGTAGAATTACTGAAGGACATCATCATGGAAATAGGTGCAGGTACTTATCAAGAGTGATTAAGGAGCCTCCATCACTTTATATTTCTTTCAGATAACGCGGAAAGGAGGATACTGCTACTGATTACGATTCTCAGCCATAAAGTCTCGACTGACTGACTTAAATGATCTCTTAGACTACATTCAAGGAGCTGTGATTTACTGAAAAATGCTAATTAACATAACTATCCTTCATCTCACGCGGCTATGTCATGAGGTATTTACCTCCAGGGCTAGCCGATTGAATATTACGAGAACTTCTGAGATGACAACCTTCCCTGGTTGACTAGCTTGCTAGTTTACTAGCGAGTCCTAAGCCCCGGTAAAGTGGATGGGTTGGGCTTGGGGCTAACAACCCAACACCAATAGACCTATCAAACTGCTAGAGAAACTTCAACGCACAAAAAATATATTAGAAATACAAAAACTCTCAATAACAACAATCGTATTCTTCGCTCGAATAGGAGAGGCGAAATGACGTGGGCTGGTGAAAGCCTTCGAGAAGTCAGTCAGCCAGTCGATGTGTCTTCTCTCTCTCGATGAAAGCAAGAATAAGAATGGGTTCATGGAATGTCCGTACCATGTAAGAGACTGGCTGAGAAGGCCGCCAGGTAGCCGAAGAAATGAGAAGATATGGCTTAGAAGTGCTCGGTACCCGCGAGAGCAGATAGAATGGATGTGGATTATCAAGATTTTCAACTGGAGAGTCAGGAATCGAGGATCATGATGTCAAGATTCAATTCAAAAGGAAGGAAGGAAGGTTACAGTCACCCAATGCTACACACGCGGTTTCAAACAACGCGAAACAAGATAGGAAGGAAGATTTTTACAGACAACTACAAACAGTAATGGAAAACATCCCGAATGGCGACATCAAAATCCTCATGGACGATATGAATGCAAGCTGAACTGGGAGCAGATAATACAGGAAGAGAACTCATCGTGGGTCAAGAACCTCCCGCTAGGCGAAATGAATGATAATGGAGAACTCTTCTCAGATTTCTGCGCCTTCAATTATTTGGTAATCGGAGGCAGCGTGTACAAATACAAGGATATACACAAGACCAGTGATATAGATTTCGCCTGACGGACACACTACACATCAGATAGACTTCATCTCGATGTGGCTCCACTGCTCAAGGAAGTGGAGATGCAGCTAGTCTACTGGACGCGGAGTAGGGGAGGGGAACAGATGTGGGCTCAGAGCATCATCTAGTTAGAAGAACCTTGAAGGGGAAGCCGAAAGCCTTCAGAACAACTCGAGACAGACCACAAATCAAGTTCAACACTCAGAAACTGAAGGAGAAAATTACAAGGGATACTTTCACTGGAGATCTGATCAGAAGAAAGTTGGTGACACTACGTGGCATTATTGAGGGAACTTGTGTGTGTGTGTGTGTGTGGAAGAACATTGGAACTAACTCTCTGAAGGTGATATTTAAGGGAACGTGTACAACTGTTATAGGAAGGAGGAAGAGACAAGACAAAGAATGGCTGTCAGCAGATACCTGGAAGCTAATCGAGAAGATAAGGATGGTAGAAGAGAAGACGACTCAATGCAAAGATGGACAAGAGAAGGAGAAGCTGAGTTCATTGTACACTGCACAGAATAAAGAAGTGAAGAAGAGTGCAAGGAAAGACAAAAGACAATTCTACAACACACTGACTGGCAACTGGAGCAGAACAGGCAGGTCACAGGTAAAAGAGACATCAGGATATGATATGAGATAACCAGGTGTCTATCAGGGAAGAGATCAACCCAGATAATGGAACCAATAGAAAATGCTCAAGGGAACCTGAGTACCATGGAGGAAGAACAAACCAAACAATGGACTGATCACTTTAAAGGACTCTTGAATTGACCACCATCTGTGATTCATTCACAAATACTGCCAGAAGCACACACGGAAGTGACAGTGGGCACCAATCTTCCAACGAAGGGAGAAATCTTGAATACGATCAAGCTGCTGAAGTTCGAGTGGAATTCCCCCGAAATACTGAAAACGGACGCAGAGACTGTGGTAGATACGCTGACACTGTTATTGCAAAAGGTTTGGAAGGAATGGTGTTTGTTGTTTGGAAGAAAAGCTGGCCATCTCGTCAAACTACCGATGGAGGGCGACTTACGTCTCACTCTGGAAGAGCTGGCGCAGATTAATGCTTTTGTCCACGCCAAGTAAAATACTGAGTCACATCACCCTGTAAAGAATGCACTGGGTACAGCAACCCATGGGAACGAGCTGGCTGGATTCAGGAGATGCAAATCATGTGCTGATCAAATCGCAACTCTACGCATCGTCATCACGGAACAAAGCATTGAACAGTAGTCAAACCTGTACCTTATTTTCATCGACTTCATAAAGGCCTCTGACAGACAGCGTAGACCGAGAAGTAATTCGGAAACTACTTCAACTCTATGATGTGGAGTGTCCAAATCTTCATCGACCTCATTCAACAGCTGACAATATGACAGTGGCGCTTGTCAGGTGATCCACAAAGGAAGACCCAGTGAGCCGTTTGAAGTGCATACAGACAGGAGTAAGACAAGGCAGCCTATTATCACCCACGATGCTATTCTTGGTTGTGATGGACTGGATTATGCGTTGTGAGTGAGAAGACAGGAATACGCTGGACCGATACGCGGACTCTAGAAGGTCTCTATTTCTCAGACGATATATGTCTACTTTCACAGAAACTCAAAGACTTGCAGGCGAAAAGGAACAAACTGTCTAAAAGGACTAGCAATGGAGACAGGACTGTATGTGAACATAGAGAAGATGGAGGTGATGAAGATAACCATCGAACCGCAACAACAACAACAACAATAACCAGCACCAGTCACGATCAAAGGGAGAAATTTGACAGAGGTTACTTCCTTCACTTATCTAGGAAACATCGTTCCAGTTACTGGCCGGGTGAACGGATGAAGTTGTGAAAGCCAGACAGAATCGGAAAGGCTAGATACGCCTTTATCACCCTAAAACCAGTTTAAAATCTTCTGCCCCCAGCATCTATAAGTAAAAAGATTAGGATTTTCAACACAATTGTCACGTCGGTGCTTCTATACGGGTCAGAAACAAGGTCAGTGGGTCATGGAAAAGATTTCCTACCGGTTGCAGACTTTCATCAACATCTGCCCTCTCTGGCTCTATATGAAGATCCATTTGCTGACCTGAAAGAATAGGTAACAAGAAACTGTGAGAACAAACCAACCAAGTGTCGAATCAAGCTGTAATAAAAAAAAGTGCCGATTGCTCAACAAATATGTGGGAGAAAATGGAGGTAGATTGGGCATACACTGAGGAGGTTACCTAATGACATCGCACGTCACACCCTCGAGTGGAATCCAAATGGAAAGCGACGATTGGATCGTCCTAGGGGGATATGGAGGAGATCGTGAGCTGAGGAGGAGGAAATTAGAGATTATGGGAAATCGCGAACCCAGCTGAAGAGGATGGCAGAAACTGGAACAAAGTGAAGATGTGTAGTTGAAGCCCTATATTCTAAGCGGATCCCAGGGGAAAAATAATAATAATTCTGAGATGATAGCTGTAGTACATGTTCAAACCACTGGGACTGCTGTTCCAAGATGATAACATTTACTGAAAGACACTTTCCGCTGAGTACAAACCCACACAGCCGGATCACAAAATTATTTACACGATGGTCGCCATCTGATACAAGGGATTCTATGGAGGCAGTGATAATCGAAAACTCAAATTCGGCGCACACTCTGAACTAGGGGAGCCCAGGTTTCATAGGTGCAGAATAAGACTACGTGCACCTTCGACGGCCAGGCTAACCTTATGATGGCGTAAGAAGTGGTCCAGGTTGGCGTATTCCTCCCTGGCTTTCACGATACGGTCACACCTCTGCTACCACGCACACAACTTCCTAGATGCAAGAACTTACCGGATGCTTCTAACTATTCATCTTCAAGGGTAAGTGCAGATACAGGCTCCTATCGATCTTACACTCAGACGGAGCAAAGCGCGTACTATGCATACGGACAATGATCGCTAACTGACTTTGATACGTTGTGATCGATAATATTGAATCCTGGCGCTGTAGACTATCTGAACTGTTTTTCAACGTTTTCTGTTCAGAGCTTGGAGCATCTTTTTAGATTGCTAATTCACATACCATTTATTTAACAGACAGTTTCATTGACACAATGCTTCTTGCTATCAGTGACTCGAATAAGCTGGAACAGACCTCAGCTGTTTCCAGGTTCGCCTGCGGATTCCATCTCAAAATATTCTGACTTCCAGACTTCATTATACTTGCCTAAGCACACTTTGATCTTATGCATAGTCTTCTCGTGTAGATTACTATTATTGTTGTCTATCTGTCGAAATGGACCGAGTAGCATCAAGAAGTTGCAAGGAACTCTTCCAAACTCATTGGTTTTTAGCACGACGCTTAACTAAGCCTCAACCAGTTTTCCTCGTCATATTTTTGACGTCTTGTCATTGCAGCCAGTGTTCACCTACACTGCCCGGGAGTAGGTAAGTATTCGGCTGTGGGTTCAGTTCTGCTTGATACTTGTCAGCAGTTTTTGGTGATACCGGTTTACTTAGATCAATATGTTGAGAACAATATTAATTGTCATTGCCAAGTATCTAAATAAACCTGGTACACACTGAAGCATGACAAGAACGTAGACAGGTTCTTCAGAAGAAGAGGCAGTATCGTATTTACCCACGTCGTCGGTAGCTGATAGCGATATCATCTATTAGAGACTAGGTATAAGTGACCGAAGGAGGACGCTAGGTACCATTGAGGCAATGGCTTGCTCGAAGTTGGTGATGCCTAGAAATAGTTTGTGGTCTGCTCAAAACTGCACAAGATTATTATTATTTATTATTATTATTGCTCCCTTGGGTTTCTAGTGGAACATAGGGCTTCAACTGCACGTCTCCACTTGCCACTTCTGCTGTACTTTTCACCTGCATCCATGTTAGTCCATACTCTTTCAACTCCTCTTCACACGATCTCTTTCATGTCACCCTTGCACTGACGACCCATTCGCCGATTCCCTTTCGGGTTCCACTCGAGCAATGGCCTGACGCGCGCGCGATGTCACCCAGTGGTCTCCTCAGCGAGTGTCCAATCCATCCATCTCCACTTTCTCCTGCATATTTGTTGTTGGTTGGCGATTGGTTCTTATTTCGTTTGTCCGGGTATCAGTCTCCACCTTCTAAGTGCCAAGGTAACTGACTTTACTATCGAGATATTCAGGTCACTACTGACCTCCTTTAGGACTGATTAGTGACAAATATTGTCAACTAGTTCTGAGATTGTTGATAGAAATCTGTTGTTCAAGTGTGTATTTTGTTATATAATATTTAGTGCTACTGTCATATATTGTTTCATTTCATTCCTACATTCTTTATCTTCAAAAGCGATTAAACGAAAGTCAAGCAAAAATAAACGATTTGGATGTTGTATTACAAGGAGCTTTACAAGACAGAAAACATACACAAGAAGCTTTAACACAATCTCATCAAAGTGAATTGAACAAATTAAGTATAAGCAACAACAAGAAATACTGGTGAGTGTCTCTGACATATTATACTGTAAGAACAAAATGCATTGGACTGTTTAAAATACAGAAGATCGTGTCTCTACTAAAGATGGCATAAATAACAGTTAGTTCTAAAACGATTTGATAGTAATATTTCTATTAATTCATGGTTTTCCGAATAAATCATGAGGCATCAGAAGCAAATATTTATTCCAACTGACCCTCTGTTATATGGCTTCCATTTGGGTTCTGATCGAGAGCCTGGCAAGTGATGTCACTCAGCAGTCACCTGAAAGAATATCCAACCAGTCTCTACATCCTTCGGTATATTTGCGGAGCCATAGAGCCTTCTCTAGAGTGTTAGCTGAGTTCCTTGTCTGTTATTCACTTTATCACACCATTTTGTCTTCAGTATGGGGCGAAGAAAATTGCTGGCAAAAGTCTGTAGCATGTTGAAAATGGTGATTTGTGTTTATCTCTGGTTGCGTATCTTCATAACCCCGGCTTTTCTATTATTACCTGAAGTCTTGACCTCTATGCCACTTGTGCAAACATTTTGGTTTTAGTTTATAAATTTTCTGGTTTGTTCGACAAGAGGCACAAATCATACACGAAATCCAGATATTCTAGAGTTCTTTGTTTGGTACAGCGTAAGGCCGTCTTCTAGCTCAACATGCACTTTAGCACAATCCATGGTCGAACCAAAAACCAAATTGACTTCATCTCAATCTCAAGGAAGTGGAGGCGCAGCTGGACACAAAAGTAAGAAGAGGAGCTTTCTAAGAAACATGAGCTGCAGATAGACCACAAGCCAAGTTCAACACTCAAAAACTGAAGGACCAAGATACAAAGGACATCTTCATTGCAAGCATAAAGGACAAAGCCGAGACACAGATCAACACCGGCGAAAAGGTCAGCGTCGAAAAGCACTGGGACAACTTGAAAACGGTGTGGACTCAAACCTGCATGGAAGTTCTAGGCAGAAGGAAGAGACAGGACAAACAGTGGCTCATTAAGGACACTTGGGAACTAATAGAAGAGAGAAGGATAGTGAGACAAAAGATTATCCAGTGCACCGACGAGCAACAAAACAGGAGTTGAATGCAAGCTACAATACACTAAACAAAAGAGTAAAGAAGAGTGTCAGGGAAGACACACGAAAATGTTATGTAGCCATGGGAAGTGAAGCAGAACAAGCTGCAGTGGAGGCAAAGAGACCTCGCCACACTGTACCAAACAACTAGGCACCTATCGGGCAAAAGTTCGACACAGATTAAGCCAGTAAAGGATGACAATGGAAAGTCAATCACCAAAGAGGTGGAGCAAAGGAAACACTGGGCTGAACGCTTCAAAAGATTTCTAAATCGACCTCCACCTACAACGCGCCCGACAATAGCAACAACGGAAGCAGAATTACCTATGAACATCAACCCCCGACGAGAACAGAAGTCGTGAAGGCTACCAAGATGCTCAAAGCTGGAAAAGCAGCAGGACCAGTTGGAATCCCAGCAGAAGCATTCTCTATTGTTCCCCCTTAGTTTTTCCTGGGCTACTGAAGAAAGACTATACCTTATTACGCAGGATGTTAAAGGTTGTCAGAAGGGTAAGCAACGTGCCACTTAATGAGCTTGTTAACATTCTGGTGGACAGACACATGGACTCATTTGAAAAATGGTCGAAATCCATTTTATCTGACTCACAACACCCTCTTCATTCACAACTCTCCCCTTGTATCTCATCGGGGAAAACGAGAAGCCTATATAGGAAACTATATGCCCGCACTAGTAAGTACAAAAACTCATCCATACCCTACCTAGCTCGTGTTCTGTGCGATAAAGAAAGCATTAGGCGTGATACCTATAACTTATTAAATAGTCAGTAGAAAAAGTGAATCTCGTCTTTTCAATTCGTATCTTTACAGGTACAACGTTTTCTTTCTTTTTTCCTTTTCTCTCTCTTTTTGCTCTTTTATGTGCTGCTTTGTTTCTTTCTTCTGCTAACGCCAGTAAATATGCTAGAACCTACTTTTCTAACACCTTCTAACACTCTGTTAAATTTTGGCTTTGCTACCAACATGCTAATATGTTGTTGTCAAAACTGACTGAGATAACCTTAATCTATGTAGAACTTTATTTATTGTTAATGTACTAACTGGATGCAATATTGTAGTAAAATGCTGAGAATTCCATTCTGTATCACAAGTACTGATTTGGAATAAAGCTATTATTATCTTAAAAAATGGATCCAGAGACAACAGCGGACTTGATGACGCCATTACTGGAGAAGGTGTGGAAAGAGGGCAAAGTATCCGAGGATTGGAAGAAAGGATACTTATTCAAACTACCAAAGATAGGAGACTAGAGCGGAATTATGCACTTGTCCATCCCAAGCAAAATACTAAGCCACATCATCCTGGAGAGAAACAAACGAGCCCTGGATGAAAAGCTTCGACCGGGTTCAGGAGAAACAATCATGTATTGGTTAAAGTGCCACACTACGGATCATGATTGAACAGAGCTTGGAATAGCAGTCACCTCTCGTTCTCAACTTCATCGACTTTGAAAAGACATTCGACAGAGTCGATCGAGAGGCATCTACTTCGCTATTACGGGGCGCAGCCGACAATTATACATCTCATCCAACAGTTGTACGACAATGCTGCATGCCAAGTAATCCACAAACAGGAAACTTACGGAATCCTCGAAGTGAAGGTGGGAGTAAGACAAGCTGGTTGCCTACTATCTACAATGATTTTCCTGATTGCAGTAGATTGAATAATGTGACAGACAGCAGGCAACGAGGAAACAGGTATAAGATGGACTCACACAAAAAACTTGGAGGATCTGGACTTTGCCGATGACATATGTGTGATTTCCCACAAACTGGAAGATATGCAAGTGAAAAGCCAACAGCTTGGCAGGGGAAGCATCCAGAGAAGATCGGACTTCAGGTGAACATAGAGAAAACAGAGGTGATGAAGATTCCCGGTCAATAGCAACAGCCATGGCAAGAGCAACAGACAACAATCAGCCAGCATAAATGGGAGGAAGCTGAAAGAAGCAACCTCCTTTACCTACCCACCTACCTGGGAAGCATTGTTTCAACTACAGGCGGAACTGACGAGGATATCAAAGCAAGAACTGGAGAGCAAGACAATATTTCATTTCTCTCAAGTCAACAGCACTCAGCATCAAAAATAAGATCCGGATTCCCAACTCCAATGTGAATTCAGTGCTAATTTATGGATCAGAGACTTAGCCAGCGCATCATGAAGAGCACTTCAAACAAACTACAGACCTTCATTACCAGCTGTCTTCGCTTAATACCACTCAAGATTAGATGGCCGGCCGGAAAAGATCAACAACAGTGAGTTCTGGGAGCGAACCAACCAGGAACCGATTGTGCAACAAATAGGCGGGAAGAAATGGAGATGGATTGGCCATACTCTGAGGAAACCATCAAACGACATCACTAGACAAGCCATTGCTCGAGTGGAACCAGGCCGAAAGGGAAGCGGCGAGTTGGTCGTCAGTGACAGGGTGGGGTGACTTGGAGGAGGTTATGTGAAGAGGAGATGAAAGCATGTGGGAAGAGTTGGAGCCAGGTGAAAACTCTAGCAGAGAACCGAACACAATGGAGACGCACGACTGAAGCCCTGTGTTCCTCTAGGAATTAAAGGAAATAATAATAATTACTTTACACTTGTATTGAAAATCCGAATTATGTCCTTCATTCTGAGTGCAGCAGATTTCGACTCTGATTTCAGTGTAATGAAGGTTTTTCTGACTTTTCCGACACTGTGTTTTATGTCATCATTCTTGTCATCTGTAGTTAGAACGGTGCTGCCTTGGTGACTGTAGGAAGTTACTTTTTTACAGCTTTCTCCCGTTGAAAGCGACTGATGTTTCTGTTGTTGGTCATGTGCCTTCATCATCTCTGTCTTCTCCACGTTCGCTTGAAGTCCTGTTTTAGCTGTTTCTTTTGCTAACTTGTTGGTTTTTAACTTGTAGATCCTCATCACAAATCAACCACAAGACCCAGATTTTCTACAGTCTTCGTGTAGGTCCAAAGTATTTCTGTCTTCTCGCACCAAAAACAAGAATACCATCAGTGATTGTAAGCGGCCATGTCTCACTCCTCTCTTCACTTCAAAGTTTCTCTAAGATCTGTATTGTGACTCACTTGGCATGTGGTATCATCATATAGTTTTTGAATGAGGTTGATAAGGCTTTGGGACACTTCCTAGTCTTGAAGCAGTTTCCAAATTACTTTTAGGCCAACAATGTCTAAGGGCTCTTCATAGTCGATGAAGCGGATTCATACATTGGACTACAATTCTATTCTATCTTTGGTAATGAAGCGAAAAGCTGCAATTGTGTTGACACACATGATTTGCCTCTCCTGAATCCAGCTTGTTCCAACACGAGTATTGAATCTTCTGAATCTTTGAGTGTCTCCAGGATATCGCGACTTGGTATTTGGCTTGGAGTGGACAGTGGAGTTGATTTTTACATCGACGTAATTTGCCCTTCTTCAAATCGGTAGGCACCTTTCCTTCTTTCCAAACTTTGTGCAGTAGTGGAGGGGAAACATTCTCTGAGGCAAGTGGGTCCGTTTTCAGTAATTCCAGGATGTTTTCATCTCTTTTCTGGCTTTCAACAACTTTACTGCACTTAAGACTAATGTTTCTGTCAGAAGATAGGTGTTCTGAGACTGCTGGTGGTATTTCCGGAAGCGTTAAATTATTATTATTGTTCCTTTGGGTTCCTAGTGGAACATAGAGCTTCAACTGCACGTCTCCACTTGCCACTTCTGCTGTACTTTTCACCTGCATCCATGTTAGTCCATACTCTTTCAACTCCTCTTCACACGATCTCTTTCATGTCACCCTTGCACTGACGACCCATTCGCCGATTCCCTTTCGGGTTCCACTCGAGCAATGGCCTGACGCGCGCGCGATGTCACCCAGTGGTCTCCTCAGCGAGTGTCCAATCCATCCATCTCCACTTTCTCCTGCATATTTGTTG